AGTCTTCCACGAAATATATCACCCAAAATCTTCTGGGTGATTTTGTCCTTATGTTAAGTTGTAGGACTTTGCTGGGGAAAACTTGGTGTGGACTAATGGCTTTTCTCCTCACTTGGATGTTTCAGCTCATGGAGCTTCTTCACCACTATTACCCAATCGAGATTGACCCCCACCGGACCATCAAGGAGAAGTTACCACATATGGTGGAGTGGTGAGTGACTGGTAAAGAAATGCTCCTGGGCCCTTGAGATGGAGTGGGCAGGAGGGATGAATCTTCCCAGGATTTTTTTTTTTTTGGAGTTAGAGTCTCACTATGTCACTCTCAATAGAGTACAGTGGCATCATAGCTCACAGCAATCTCAGACTCTTGGGCTTCAGCAATTCTTTTGCCTCAGCCTCCAAGTAGCTGGGACTGCAGGCACCTGCCACAACACCCGGCTATTCTTTGATTATAGTTGTCATTGTGGTTTGGCAGGCCTAGGCTGAGTTTAAACCCACCGGCTCTGATATATGTGGCTGGCTGATGCCCTAGCTGCTGAGCTACAGGTGCCAAGCCTTTTTTTTGAGGCAGAGTCTCACTATGTCACCCTCAGTAGAGTGCTATGGTGTCACAGCTCACAGAAACCTTAGACTCCTGGGCTTACGTGATTCTCTTGCCTCAGCCTCCCAAGTAGCTGGGACTACAGCCACCCGGCACAACGCCCTGCTATTTTTTTGTTGCACTTTGGCCAGGGCCAGGTTCGAACCCACCACCCTCGGTATATGGGGCCTATGCCCTACTCACCGAGCCACAGGCACCACCCTTTTCCCAGAATTTTGATGACATAGCCGGCTTCCTTACCTTAATTTAATGCCATTAGCCCAGCTATTAGAACGACCTGTCCAGATACACCTGGGGCTACTTGTGGCTACTGCTAGAGTGGAAGCCCTCAGAATTCTTGGAGTAAGTTAAAAGCCCCTGGGTTTGTGGGGATAAGTTCTTTGGAGAAGTGACCTTTGTCTTAGTTTGGTTTTGCTACTATAATAGAATACTACAGACTGGACAATTTTTTTATTTTTCATCACAGAGTCTCACTCTGTCCCATAGCTAGAGTGCCATGATGTCATCATAGCTCATGACAACCTCAAACTGTTAAGCTCAAAGTATCCTCCTGCATCATCCTCCTGAGTGTATAGGACTACAGGCTCCGGGGCAGCACCTATGGCTCAAAGGAGTAGGGCACTGGCCCCATATGCTGGAGGTGGCAGGTTCAAACCCAGCCCCGGCCAAAAACTGCAAAAAAAAGAAGGACTATAGGCTCCTGCCACAACACCCGGCCAGTTTTTCTATTTGTAGTAGAGACAGGGTCTCGTTCTTGCTCTCAGGCTAGTCTCACTTTGTCACCCTTGTGACACAGTAGAGTACTGTGGTGTCATAGCTCATAGCAATCTCAAACTCTTGGGCTGAAGGGATCCACTTACTTTTTTTGTTTGTTTATTTATTTTCAGACCAAGTCATACTATGTCACCCCTTGGTAGAGTGCTGTGGCATCATAGCTCATGGCAACCTCAGACTATTGGGCTTAAGTGATTCTCTTGCCTTAGCCTCCTAAGTAGCTGGGACTACAGGTGTCCACCACAACACTGGCTATTTTTTTGTTGCAACTGTTGTTGTTTAGCAGACCTGGGCCAGGTTTGAACCTGCCAGCCCCAGTGTATATGGCCGGCGCCCTACCTAAGCTTTGGGTGCTGAGCCGGTATTTTCATTTTTAGTAGAGACTGCGTCTCACTCTTGCTCAAGCTGGTCTTGAACTCATGAGCTCAAGCAGTCCACCCACCTCAGCCTCCAGAGTGCTAATATTACAGGCATGAGCCACCACACCTGGCTCTCCTCTTCCTGGTTGGTAAGGACAGCCAGTGTCCTTTAGGAAATGGCTCTGTGGAAAAGATGAGGCCTTCATTGTCCCTGCTGTCACAGGGAACTTTGTTGTATAAAGGGAAAGGACACTTTACTTACCTGAGTGGTTTTAATTTGGAGTTTTGGGGATCTGTTTCTAGGTGGACCAAAGCACACAATCTCCTGTGTCAGCAGAAGATCCAGAAGTTTCAGATAGCCCAAGTGGTTAGAGAGTCCAGTGCAATGCTCAGGTAAGCATCTTGCTCTGGAAAACCTTCTGAATACTTGAACCTGTTTTGTTCACAGAAAGGAGACCAGGAAGAGTGGAAAGAAGTTAGTTGCTTGGAGCAGAAGAGACATGGCAACATGAGCAACTGATGAGAATAAGATGGTCTTGTTTTCTTTCCTTTCTTTTTTTTTTTTAGACAGAGCCTCAAGCTGTTGCCCTGGTAGAGTGCTGTGGCATCACAGTTCACAGCAACCTCCAACTCCTGGGCTCAAGCAATTCTCCTGCCTCTGCCTCCCAAGTAGCTGAGACTATAGGTGCCCACTACAATGTCCAGCTATTTTTTGTTTGTAGTTGTCACTGTTGTTTGGCAGGCCCGGGCTGGATTCGAACCCGCCAGCTCTGTTGTATGTGGCTGGCACCGTAGCCACCTGAGCTACAGGTGCTGAGCCGAGAAGATGGTCTTGTTTTCATTCTTCTTTTACAGCTAAAAGATTTCCTACCCTTGCTAGGAAACAGATGTAGTGTGAAATGATTGGGGCTTCATTGCCTAGCTCATTTTTCACAATGGCAAAAGACTCTGGGGGGTCCTTCTGGTGACTGAGGTTCTTTATCCAGACATGAGAGTTGGCTAGCTTGGACCCTTAGTTATTGGTGGCCTTCACTGAGCTATGCTCTCACTGGGACTTTCTTTCCTGGAGGACAGGTCGGGGCTCATAGAGGAAGGTGCTGACAGGTGCCTGCCTCAGCACTGGGCATCCTAATTGGCAAGATTGCTGTGTTGGCTCGGCACCTATGGCTCAAGTGGCTAAGGCGCCAGCCACATACACCTAAGGTGGCGGGTTCAAATCCAGCCCAGGCCTGCCAAGCAACAATGATGGCTGCAACCAAAAAATAGCCAGGCATTGTGGCAGGTGCCTGTGGTCCCAGCTACTTGGGAGGCAGAGGCAGGAGACTCGCTTGAGCCCAGGCGTTGGAGGTTGCTGTGAGCTGCAATGCCACAGCACTCTACTCAGGGGGACAGCTTGAGGGTCTGTCTCAAAAAAAAAAAAAAAAAGATTGCTGTCTCCTGTGCCTACCCCCTAAGTGCTGGGGTGGGGGTGGGGTGTTCCCCAGAGAAGGTGCCCAGGATAGCTGTCTGTTTGTATGAACTGTAGCAGGAAGCATATGCTTGCCCTCTGTCCCTCTCCTAGGTATATAACAAGGAGAAGTGAGTACATGTAGCCTCTGTAAGACATGGGCAACATAAATAGCTAAAATTTGGAAACATCACAATTGGGTGTCAAGAGGAAACTGGATAAATTTACATATTTGTGTGGTGAAGCCAGACACAAAAGAGTACATTTTGTACAAGTTCAGGGACAGGCAAAGCTAATCAGTGGCGATTAGAAGTCAAAACAGGGCTAGATGGTATTGACTGGGAAGGACCATGAGGGAAGCATGAGCTGGTTAGTTAGTCACTTGGGTTTGTACCTGTGTCGGAATTAACTGAGCTGCTTCTCTCTCTTCTCTTTCCACTCTCCTGCATGTCTGCTCTACTTTTCTCTCTACCCCTCTTCCCGTCACTCTTCTCTACTCTTCCCCCTCTCTCTTCTCTTCCCACTCTCCCCTCTTTTCTCTTTTCCTTAATGCTGCTCCACAGCCTCCTTCCCCCACCAATAAAACCTTTCATACAAGCAAAAAAAAAAAAGAATTAACTGAGCCGAACACTTAGAATTGGTACACTTTGACCTCTTACTGAATGTTATATGTGCAATTTAAACTATTTTTTAAAGAAATATTATTTTATTTATTTATTGAGACAGAGTCTTACTTTGTTGCCATAGTGTCATACCTCACTGCAACCTCAAACTCTTGGGCTCAAGAGATTCTCTTGCCTCGGTCTCCCAAGTAGCTGGGTCTACAGGCACCTGTCACAATACCTGGCTGTTTTTTAGAGATGGGGTCTCAAATTCCTGAGCTCTGGCAATCCACCTGCCTTGGCCTCCCAGAATGCTGGAATTACAGGCGTGAGCCACTACACCGGCCTTATTTCTTTATTTTTTAGAGATGGTGTCTCACTCCATTTCCTAGACTAGAGTGCGTGGCACAATTAAGCTTACAGCAGCCTTGAGCTCCTGGCCTCAAGGGATCTTTCCCACTTGGCTTCCCTAAGTATTGAGATTATAGGTGTGAGCCACTATACCTGGCCAAATTTTAAAACATATAACCCAAGAATTCCTTCATCTCTTTTCAGGGAGGGATACAAGACATTCTTCAACACACTTTATCAAAACAACATTCCCCTTTTCATCTTCTCAGCGGGCATTGGTGATATCCTGGAAGAAATTATCCGACAGATGAAAGTATTCCACCCCAACATCCACATCGTGTCTAACTACATGGATTTTAATGAAGATGTGAGCTAAATCTCACTTGGGCTGGGGAAGGAAGTAGGGTGGGAACCACCAGCCAAGGCATTTCACCCTGTATGTTAACCCTGGCCTGGGGATGGGGAGTGGGGAGGGTAGTGTGCTGGCTCTGCCTTTAGACAGTTGCAGTTGTTTATATGTTACTTTCAAAGGCCCCTCTCTTTGGTATTTGACAGTCAAGTCCCCCACTTTGTGGGTACCTAGTTTATGGGTCAGCTGGCCCCATATCACTGCCATGGGTCACCTGCCATCCTGGGTGCTGAAGGGTTTGGACTTGGACTTTTTTTTTTTTTTTTTTGCCAGGGGTGGGCTACTCTGACTCATCCACATTCCAACTTCTTCCCTATAAAACTGATGGCTGGAATTTTCTTTCTTTCTTTTTTTTTTTTTCTTGGAGACAGAGTCTCACTCAGTTGCCCTGGGGGTGAGTGCCATGGCATCGTAGCTCACAGCAACCTCAAACTCTTGGGCTTAGGAGATTCTCTTGCCTCAGCCTCCTGAGTAGCTGGGACTATAGGTACCCACCACAATGCCCAGCTATTTTTTAGAGACTGGATCTCGTTCTTGCTCAAGCTGGTCTCAAACTCCTGAGCTCAGGCAGTCCGTCTGCCTTAGCCTCCTAGAGTGCTAGGTTTACAGGTGTGAGCCACTGAGCCCAGCCTGGAATTTTCATCACGTTGACCTATTAGCACAACAGGTGACCTGAACAGTATTTGCATCACAAATTTCGTGCTTCTACCAAAATAGATGATTAACAATATCTGATAGCTCCTGTTAGTTTAAACCAGGAGTTACAAACTTTTCCTAAAAAAGCCAGGCAGTAGGTACATTTTGTGAGGCATGCAGTCTCTTGCAACTGCTCAACTTTGCCATCATAGCGCAGAAAAGCAGCTGTAGGCAATATATAGACAAATGAGTGTAACTGTACCCCGGGAAAACTTGATTTCCAGACACAGGCAAAATCTGGCCTATGGGCCCTAGTTTGCTGATCCCTAATTTGGGCAGCAGTAAAGTTTTGTCATTATCTATTGTCTTCTGAATTCCCTTTCCTCTGTGACAGAGACACAGGAAAACTGGCACTACACTGGCCCCTGTAACCCTTCTGTCTCTCTTGTCTTGATTCTTTAGGGTTTCCTACAGGGATTTAAGGGCCAACTCATACACACATACAATAAAAACAGCTCTGTGTGTGAGAACTCCAGTTACTTCCAGCAGCTTCAGGGCAAAACCAACATCATCCTGCTTGGAGACTCCATGGGGGACCTCACTATGGCCGATGGGGTTCCAGGTGTGCAGAACATTCTGAAGATCGGCTTCCTAAATGACAAGGTAGGTAGGGAACCAGGGCTTCCTCTCTCCATGGCTCTTTTCTCTTTGAATTCCTATCATCAATGCTTCTGAACACCTCACGTGCCACATACTTACAGGTTCAGAGGTAAGACACAAACCACATTCTCTCTGAGCACATAATCTCATAGGAAACAGAGATAGCCAGTGATTATAGGTGTGTATTCATCCCGTGGCTTGACATTGGCCTTCAGAGAGGATTGTGCCAGGAACTTGATCTTACCTCCTTAGCCTCAGTTTCCTCAGTGTTCCCTATGTCAGGCATTGTTCTTAGTATTCACAGGTATATAATAATTCATTTTAGTCTGGGAACTAGTTGACATAGTAACTGTTATCCCTATTTTACAGTCAAGGAAACTGAGGTACGGAGGTAAGTAACTTGTCCAAGGTGGTAGAATTTAGGAAATAATGAGACTCTGATTGAAATGGGAGATATCATATTCAGGACCTGGGTTTATAATTTAGAGAAGAAAAAAATAAGAACACACTGGAGACCAACAGGGGTGGGAACAACATGGTTACACGTATAAAGGGATATAGGTATCAGAAGGTCAAGATGGGCGGCCTTGGGTGTGTCCTTCTCAGCCAACAGGTGCTGGAGTCATATGAAATTCAGCCCAGGAGGGTTACAGGCAACATCTGCTTTTTTTGTTTCTGTGCTTTGACATTGATTCAACGGTTAATGGTGCAGCCCTGCCCATCACCCATCTGTATCTCCAAAGAGCAGGTTCCTGTAACCTTGAACTCCTCAGTCTCCTAAGGGAGCTGGGAGTTGTTGCTTGAATGCTCTCTTCCCCATCCCTAGGTGCTTGAGAGTAATTGAGGGTGGCTAGGCATTTGGGGGACTCTTTGGCTCCTTCCTTCACCCTGGACAGGTGGAGGAACGGCGGGAGCGCTACATGGACTCCTATGACATCGTGCTGGAGAAAGATGAGACACTAGATGTGGTCAACGGGCTGCTGCAACACATCCTGCATCAGGGGGACCAGGTGGAGATAGAGGGGTTGTGAGGGCCCAGGCTCAGGCCAGGCCCTGCAGGCCCAGACGAGGAGGGGCCACCAATCTGGTCAGCTGTTTTTTTGTGAGCACACAGAAAAGTCCAGGGTGGCCAAGACTGGACCCTTCCATGCCCTTCCCCTCACTTCTCCCCTGCTGCCTTCATCACTGGGGGCTTGAGGGAGGCCTTGCCAGGGAGAAGGGCACAAGCACTATTCCCGATGAACCGTCGACCATGGCATGTTAGTGCTGTAAGGCTTGTCTAGTCCAGCAATTCTTTTTTTCAAAATTTTTAAACATGTTCATTACAAAGCTGTTCTTCAAAAAAGTGTAATGTATGAGACAAATTAAAATTAAAAAACTGAAAAAAACAGAGCTACTCTGATTTAGGGGGTGTGGAGTGTGGGGAGGGGGTGAGCAGAGCCTGCACAGGCATCTTTTGAAAAGTGTCTAGGCTCGGCGCCTATAGCTCAACCGGCTAAGGCGCCAGCCACATACACCTAAGGTGGTGGGTTCGAATCCCCAGCCCGGACC